CAGCTCACCAAACGATCAAATACACACAAATATGTCAAAATGGCCGGCTTGGAGAGTATTTACTTAAACACAGTTTATGTCTTAAGTGGAGGAGAACAGTTGGGAGAAAATCCAATGTGTGTCAATATATTGTCTTGAAGTGACAGAGTGGCGCTTGGGCCATCAAAATGCAAATCTGCTCTTAATCTGAATAACGTTATAGCTTTAATAAGCATGAATCTATCAATACATACACTGAAAACTATGCAGTGTTTATTTACATTTGATTACTTTTAGATTTCTTTTGTAGGCTGTAATACAAAGCAAAGTACATTAGTTCATCAGTAATCCTAAAAAAAGAACAGAGGCAAACACACATGCTAAAATAACAACAACTTACTGACACATAGTAAGAAATAGATATATTCATAGATATAGATAAATAGATATATTATAAATAGATATATTCATTTCATTAAATATTTATTTTACATTTCAGAATATAAAGTAATGTTAATTCAGCTCTTAATTTTTCATATATATATATATATATATATATATATATATATATATATATATAAAACAAAAAGTACCGATAAGAATACCGTTAAAGTACCGAATCGATAAGCAGTATCGGTAAGAGTAGTAATACCGTTAAAACCTTAACGATACCCATCCCTATTTAAACATAAAACATTGAAAACTGATGTTTGAAATTGTTAAAAAAAATGAAAAGGCACCTTAAATGTGAAATTCAAACTGCCAGTAGGCAGTTTGAAATTCGCTGTTAATAAGTGAGTCATTGCGATTGAACCGAATCATTTAAACGGTTGATTCATTTAGGAACAAAACACCATCATGTTGCAAAGCCGACCTTAAACGTTAATCCCCTGGAACTGCTTCCAGTGTACAACAGTGAGCGCAAGCTAGATTCAAGTGATTATTATGTTTTGAATATGGATAGTTTTCTTACAAAAACGAATCGATTCACTACAGAAGGCCTTTGTTCACCCCCCCGGAGCCGTGTGAGACACTTTTTTTAATGGATGGGCGATTTTTATTTAAGTTATTTTGGATTGAAGCAATGCAACACCCGCTGAGTGCCATGAAACAGCTTGAAAGATCAAAGACCATTTTTAATATAACTCCGACTGGATTCGTCTGAAAGAAGAAAGTCATATACACCTAGGATGCCTCGGGGGTGAGTAAAACGCAGCCTAATTTTCATTTTTGGGTGAACTAACCCTTTAATATTAACTTCTTCTTGTATAAAATCAATATCACATTTGTAATCATGCTTACTTTTGGAGAAAAAAACGGCACTCTTCGTGTGATATTAACAATATGAAATGATATAAATATAAACATTTTCTGCCCCATATCTTAAATTATGTTATAATTCTAAATGCATTAATAGACTGATTCATGCAGTGAAAGAACGCACTCTAAATGCGCACGCGCACTAGTCTAACCTACTAGACTTCATCACCTAATGTATGTGTGCACTCTGTAGGTGTATTTTGTGTTTGCTTTTTGCGATATACTCATAATATCAAATCGCACATCGTTAAAACAACAATTACGATATTATCGTAGACCATACATATCGCACACCCCTATGTTTAGATTTATGTAATGCATTGTCTTCTTATCAATCCACCAGTTCACATTTAAAGCTCTGCGTGTTTGCACGGTAAAAACATGGGTCGATTTTCGCATTGGTCTGAACTCTGAACAAAACAACAGTTTATTGAAAATGCTCATTCATTCTCTGCCAGCAGGTGGAGCGTTTGGTAGAAATATAACTGTTTTACCGGTAACGGCAGAACACAAAGCAGTGCAGCACCGGACTTTGAACATGCAGCGCACATGTTTATTTAATGAAATCATAGCCTTTTGAAGTTTAATCGTCACATTCAGCCATATCGCAATTCTGGTATTACCGTCCCCAAATTTAAGAAATCATAATTAAGACTTTCTTGTACAATTTAAGATGTTCTAAGGCCTTAAATTTGATACAACAAAATGTAAGACTTTTTAAGACCCCATATATAGGCCTGTCGCGATTATTTGATCTGATTCTTGTGCTTTTTATACGGCACAAGGGGGAGTCATCCACCAAAAGAAACAGAAGGGACTGTATAGCTATATCATCTGAAGTCATTCCATATCTTAATGTGAGGGACGGAATTATATTTACATTGTTAAATTTAAGTTTACAGAAGCTTCTGCTGCAGCTGTCAGTTATTCTCCACTCAGCATTCAAACAGCACATCACGTTCAGTTATGACAGTCAGCACGGTAAAACTCTCTCTCCAAGATGATATATTCCCATTATAATACTTGGTGTAGATAAAGGTCTGGGGATTCGCATAAAATGACATCTTGCTGGAGTTCATTGCTCTCTCATTTTTCTTCTCTTGTAACGTTACCGTGTGGAGTGCTTATGTTGCTTCCAGCACATCATTCTGCACCCTAGATGTGCATAAGCGCTGCGACTCCATGTTGCTTCAAGTGCACCATTCTGCACCCTGGATGTGCATAAGAGCTTTGTGCCGCTCTGTTTGAAGCGTTTCACATTATCAAAGTTTTGCACACAGAAAGATTATTAGAAGCTTTTATTTTTCTCATGATTTCTATCTCATTTTCATGAATGTATTTTGTAAGAATACAAATAGTTAACAGAATAAACATGTTTAAATTGTATAATGTGCACCAAAGATTTTTTTTTTTCAAGATATTGTTTTTGCTGCTACATTATACAGTCAGCTAGTTTAATTTCATACCTTATATATTTGTATTCAAATGTAGTTTTTCTCTGTAATGAGGAAGTGAGTATTTGGTGGATTATGTTTAACAAAGGGTTTAGAAAAAAGAGTGACCATTAGTTCCACAAACACAGTATTGATATTCTGTAGTGGTGTAGAAAACAAATAACGCTGGTGTTGGATCCGTATTGGCCGATTCTTAGAATTTGGAATACTCTATGTAATCTTACACTGCAAAATAATAACAAAAAAAAGCTTAAAAGATAACATCATAATTATTTACTGAACCCTTAAATTAAATCACAATTATATAATAAAAGCCATAAAAAAAACCATGCAATTAATCGTGATAATCGGCATAATCGCCAAAGCCCTAAAACAGACAATTAATCGACTATTTTTAGACAATTAATCGTCAGCCAAATTTCATAATCGTGCCAGCCCTAACCATATACCATACAGAATACAACCAAAAAACAAAACAAGCTGACTTTTCTGTATATTTCACACAAAATTTCTGGTCAAGCAGCAACTACACTATTACTTGTCTCTTATAAATTAATTTAATTCCACTTATTATACAGCTTTGCTGAGGCTGTTATTCTTGTATGGCTTTTTTTCAACACTACACCACTGATAATATTATGTTTATAATTTTAAATGATAAATATCTTATTATTATTATTTAGTTGTTTCTGTACTCTAAATCTCCAGGAGAAGGGCCAAGCACACGCCTACTAGCATTTGCATAAGAAAATAACTGCTGAAGAGTCAAAAAAAGGCATTAAATTTTGCATGATCTGAAAACATACTCTACTAATCACAAACAAACAATACATTTACACTGTCCTGAAAACTAACAAAGAATCACATTTCTAATGATTTGAATCCAAACACATCCTCAAAAACACGGCTGACCAAACATTTGTGTGATATTATTATCCAGTGCACAATATAAATGCACGAACAGATCAATGAATGAATGCAACACAAGTCGGTTTGGACAGAAGTGTCTGCCAAATGCATACATGGAAAGTTAATTTTAGCTGACAATTTTAAAAGGAGATGGATTTTCTGAATAAAAACATCTGTAAATGTTTGTACATGAAGTACGATCTTTCTGAGGTGATGCTGTTTGTTTTGCGTAGACTCCTGAATCACATTGTCCTTCATTTACATGATCTACAAGGACATTTAAACTGAAAAATAAAGATAAATTAAGATAAGATTTCACACAACACAAAGCCACCCAAAACAATTAAAGTTATAGCATCTCGCTTTAAATCAATCCGTTTATCTATTTATATTATTTAATCAGGTTAAAATGATGTGAAACATACACTCTGGCTCTTAAACCACTTAGCAAATCATGACTGCTATCATCAGTCTAATGTTTTAAAGCAGATTTATACATGATCAGACAATGAACATCTTCAATCAGACTGAGATTAATCTGAAATCATTCATTTGCAGATACTAAATCAAGGAACATTTAATTAATAAATACACAGATGGCACAATGACTTTTTGTGATATTCTTGGATATTACACTAATAGACAGCTGTCATTCAAAGATTCAGTCTAAATGTGTAACATCTAGCCTATTTTACACGTATAACGTATACTATTTTAAGTATAGCAAGGAATCATATTATAATGAGTGTCCTCAGATGATCCACCAAAACACACCAGGAGGAGGAGCTGCAAAAATAATGATGAACACACTTTGCATATCTGACTGTGAAATCCCCTTCTTAACATAACAAATCCATTAAAAGAGCACAAGATTGGGAACTTGAGAAACATCCTGGTAACTCGCTATCACTGAAGGTAGGCCAACATTTCATCAGTCTGTTCTTAGAGCTATTTCAGAAAGTATGAACAGTTATGCTGAATTTCCACTTCGACTGATTCACATAATGTTGTACTGGGTAATGACAGTTGTGTCAGCTGATTTTTTGTTTTTGGTTTTATGGATATTTTATCATTAATATACTGTTATTATTTTTCTTTTCTAATGACAGCTGTCCATAAAACTGAAAATACACACGTTTCCTTGTACAAATATATACATTTAACTGATAAAATTAAGCTCATTTAAACTTAAGCTCGGGGCGTTTTTTGGTATTTTCGCCTAAATTTAACATACTCAAATTCAAATGTTTACCCTGATGAAGCATAAACATTTTTAACGTCATTTTTTTAACTGGTTTTAAACTACTTTATTTTTCCAGAAACAAAACCACTGGCAAAATGATGGACCATATTTGGCTTCAAATCCTCTCTCTTGCAGGTAAAACTTTATGCAAAACATTAAAATATCGTTACAATTTGAAACAAAATTACAAACAATATAAAAATAAAAGAAATTAGACCAAATGACTAGATTCACATATTCCTGCTCTTTTACATACAGTGATATTATGACAAAAAGTGGTGTGAAATGTAATAAAAATCTTTGTAGAGGAGAGTGAGCCTTTATTTAAAATTTCCTCAATAGTAATAATATAATTGAATAATATTAATATTATTGAAAAATGCTCTTGTTAACCAGCAGAGGATGTCAATGCACTGTACTGCTGTTGTAACACTCTAGAGCAGTGATCCTCAAATCTGGCTCGCGAGATCCACTTTCCTGCAGAGTTTAGCTCCAACCCTATAATCAAACAAACCTACCTGTGATTTTCTAATGATCCTGAAGACATTGATTAGCAAACTCAGGTGTGTTTGATTAGGGTAGAGCTAAACTCTGGAGGAAAGTGGATCTCGCGAGCCAGATTTGAGGATCACTGCTCTAGAGAATGATATTAAAATCAAATCCTTGTTTAATCTTGGCTGAACTATATTTAATCAAGATTCTATCACTCAATCTCCAATATTTGAACACTGCTTACAACAACATAATAATAATAATAATAATAATAATAGACAAAGACAAAGACATCCTCACTTGACAAGCTCTCTTCCAAATTACTCTTGTGGTTGTATCGGACAGTTAAGAGTTACATGGCTAAATTTTTAAATGTAAATTTTACATGGCTTTCTAAACATGTGGCTCTCGTGCGAGACGCGAGTGCAACGGTGATAGATGTCCCTCTAGAAAATGTGATAAATATGCTTTCTGTGTGAACAGTTTGGTTTCGGTTTTGACGTAAACAACATCATCTCCGCATTGATGTTCTCTTTTTCCCGCAATATTTTGACTGAAACAATGTAGCAGCGCCTCATCTAGTGGGTTCAACTGGATAGGCTAACAAAAGCATTCAAATGCAATGACACATCGTCATCGCATCTCGTGCACCACTGATAAGGCTGCCTGATGCACACCTAAAATTTGAATGCGACGTTTTTGGATTTTTATTTTAAATTCGACGAATATTTTAAATTCTAAAATTTTTTGACAGCCCTAGTAGGCACCTGACAAAGTAGGAGGGGACATCCCGCCCAAAGGCCAACTTCAGAAGGAGTGAGCCTTGGCCCCCAAAGAAGAGGGGAGATCAGAGGACTCGAGGCTATGAAATAGCATCCTGATCCACCGCTTAGCATAAGCTTCTCGGTCTCCCTCGAGAGCTGACTCTGCGTGCTTTGCTCCCAAGCAGACAACACACAAACTGTGTGTATCCCCACCCGAAATATAACGCAGGCAGGGAGGAACACACGGCCTGAATGCTGCCTGCTCTCTCCCAAATGCTTATTCTTGGCTGAAGCTTTGACATAATGGAGCTTATAAGTGGACAAACAACACTAAATAAGACTCACAACAAATAGCGACTGACACACACACAGAGCGCTTGTTGAATGACAAAAAAGCTGACGCTGGTTCCACCGCACGTGCTTTTAAGCATCCTGGTCACTACGTCACCCCGCCCGTGACGTCTTGCCCATTCATTGGACTGATTACACACGTGATTCAGAGCGTGGTCACGCTGAAGGCGTTCCCATAGCGTTTTGACGCAGCTCGAGTTCCTGAAGGGGAACAAACTCATTTTGAGAAAAAAACAACCTTTAAAGATATGTACTGTATTTGAAATCTACAGATGCAAATAGATTAAGTGAAATAATAAATCCAAGCAAATTATATATTAACAAACCCTTCTATAAAATCCTTTAGAATATAGAGAGGAATAAAACTGTAAATTTTGGTGTATGTAAGTGGTGCTGAAGTGGAAAAAAACGTATTAAAATTAAAAATATGGATTAAAATCGAAATCTACAGATGCAAGTAAATAAAGTGTAAAAAAAAAAGTGAATTTAGGGTGTTTTCTGTCCACTAGCCTAAAACAACATATTTATTAAATGCCAAACTCAAAATTGCCAAAGAATTGGCATAAAAAAATAGGGGTGCTCCCATTGATCGGCGGTCTCTATAAAGGCCGATCTCGTAAACCGATCTCAAGCTGATGACGCGGCTGCTGTGAGAGGTTTGGCATGACATGCAGCAGCACCATCTCAATCTCTGTCCACAGGTAAAATAATTAGGCCTATAATGCTAATTCATATTTTTTCATTATATTATTACAAAGTAATTTGAAAACGTTCTGTGAGATGTAATTTCACAAACAGCGTGAGTGAATCCCCGTGCGCTCTCTTTACCTGTCAAAATGCGCAAATGGCTTCAAATCAGCACATTGCGTCTGCACTATAAGCAAGCTGCACGCTGCACAGTTATCGCATTGTCACTAAAGTTTATAATTAGCATTTTTTTAAAGTCTTGCCAGTGTTTAAAGCATTCAACACTCGCGCACTCTCCTAGAGACGGTGCGCTCATGCACTCAAAGCACGCACACATAAGACCTGAGCAGAGCACCCTTAATTAAAAAAAAAGGTTTTGCCTGTAGTGTCTCGCATCAAGGACTGACACTTCAGTAAGAAACAAAACAAAAGATACACAAACACTGAGACACATAGAAGCCAGCCAAATGGAAACATTTAAGGAGGAGACTGGGAAATAAGAACAAAAACCTGATAAAAACCACTGTATTCTCTTGCCAGGACTCCTGTCATTAACTTTGTGTAAACCACAAGAGTATATTCTGATGAAGCAGTTAAAGACGTGGGAAAATGCACAGAGTTACTGCAGGACACACCATATTGATCTGGCCACCGTTCAGACTGATGAAGACTGGACAAGTCTGAAAGAAGCTGCAGATGAAAAACAGTATTCTTCATTTGCCTGGATCGGACTGTTCAATGACATCAACGGCTGGCGCTGGTCTTATAATGACGAGAGTCTGGTGTTCGAGTCCTGGGGTCTTGTCCAGCCAGATAACTACGGTGCGGGAGAGGAGTGCGTCGCCATAGCTTTTGACGGAAAGTGGTTTGATTTCTACTGCACCAGTGAAATATATTTTGTGTGTTACGATGGTGAGAAACACGCACAATAACTTTTTTACTGATGCTCATGAATTCAGTATATAAAATTAAGAAACTAAGATATATGGGTGGGTCATACAAGTAAACATTTATATCACAATATTCTTTTGGTCAGTAATCATGCAGTAATACATTTTATTCTAATTTACCATTTTCACTCAGAAAGTGCTGGTAAATTTCATAAATAATTACAAAGAAATGGCAAATAACACTGAATTAAAAGTGAAATTAAGTATTTTTGTACGAAAAACACAAAAATAATCTTTGGTTTTATTACAACTTTGAAAATTTTAATTTTTTTCCAATGTATAATTCAAAGCATGACTGTATATGTAAGTAGGCCTAAATAATGACATATTTGTTCATTTTTGGGTGAACTATCCCTTCAGACTCCCATTGTGTATTGTCCATGTAAACTACGTGAATATTAAAATGTTCAGAAACATACAGTAGTTCTGGGAACAATCTGTAAATTTTCCCAAAGGAAATGGTCTTGACTGTGTTTTTTATTTTGACAGAGAACACAAACAGAACAGCTAAACTGGTGCTAAGCAAGACCCAAAAGACATGGCTCGATGCTCAGAAGTACTGCAGAGATCATTATACAGACCTGGCTATCGTTAGAAGTCAAGCTGACAATGACCAGATAATTCAGTTGCTAAATATTTTTATGGCTCCGGTCTGGATCGGATTGTACAGAGACACTTGGAAGTGGTCAGATCGGGCCAACTTTACTTCTTCAACCCAAAACGCTGTTCAAAAACTTGTCGGGTCGAACCAAAACTGTGCTACTATAAATTATTGGCGTGTAATTGAAGATAGACTTTGCACTACGACTCATTATTTCTACTGTAACACTGGTAGGTCTGACCTGAATTATTGTGTAGAGAGATTGTAATGTTTATTATCAAACATAAGAAAAAAAAACACTGAATGGGACAATTTCATTTGATTTAAACTAGAGATGCGCCGATTGCAATTGCCTTGACTGATTCCGATTTCCGATTTCTTTTGTAAGTGTGACCTGCCAATACTGATTTTTGCTGATTCTGATTTTCTTTCTAAGAACTAGGCTATAATTGACAACATATACAACCAAAAATCTTTTTTTTTTCAGTGCACAAAAAAATGTACATAATAAAAGAAAATTTTAAACATTAAAATTTCTCCCAATCTGGACTAAGTAACAGATGTTCTCTCACTTCAGCAACTCCCAAAATAAAGTGCTCTGTCACTGGAAAGATGTAATTTCCCACTACGTTTATAAATTGGCATTATCTCCTAACCTTATTAAATGAATGTGTCATCTTTAACATCAAATTCTTACATTGTTTCAATTAATTCAGTTAGAATAATAAGAAACTGTAGAGTTGTTGCATTTTAACTCCATGTTTTGCAGAGGAAACAGATGCTGCTTCTGAAGTGGCATTAGATGTATTTACACAGACTGTTTGATGAAGCCGAGGTGACATAAATGCATTTATTGTTGCAAATGCATAAATAATGTTATAAGATTAAATAATTTTTTGAACATACAAATAAGAAATGTTGAGAAAAATGCAATGATACTTTTAAATATGAAACCAAACCACCAGTAGGTGGCGGCAAATGACTTTAATGAGTGAGTCATTTAGTCATTCGCTCAACCGATTTGTTCAAACGGCCGATTCATTCAGAAACGAGGCAAGTGACTGTCTTTATGAATGGATTACTGAATCATCAACTCACTTGATTCGTTCAAAAACGTGATTAGAACTATTTTTGTTTGCGAAATTGAGGAAAAACACTCAATATTGTGTCTAAAATGTAAGTCACTTCATTTTAACTACTTGTTTATTTAATTATTATTGTATAAAATCAGTGCCACATTGCAATCGTGCTGATATTTGAGGAAAGCATATTGGTCGTGTGATGTTGCTTACCAATATCATACATCATAAATATTTTTTTTCTACCTCACTATCCTTCTAGAACTGTATGTGAGTTAATCTGTGCAGAGAAGAACTGCATGTTTGCATGTGGATGTGAGCATAGCTGTGACGTCAAAACTTTATTTAATATATGCTTTAATATTTAATATTATATTTAATAATTATATAATCATTATATAGTATAATTATTTAAAAATGACCAAGTATGAAGTAAATATGTGTGGTCAAAGGGGTTAGGCTGTTCTCATAAAGCAAGATACAGTAAAACAAAGGAAAAAGTCAAATATATGATATGTGCTTTTCCCCACAGTCAAGAGGAACAGGCAGGTGAGCCGAGTGCAGGTGAAAGCTGCTGAGAATGCTAATGAGGAATGATTGAAGGCGCTCGTCTTAAACAAGGTGGATTTTATGATATTCATCTGACTGAAATTGTGGAATGTATTCAAATTCAGTACTGTGTCAATTCAAGATCATTATGTGCAGTAGTGAGAATCTAATGAGATTCAGCACAAATAACGAGAAGTGTTTGTCACCATGAGTTGTACAACTAGCTGCTAAGATTTTATTAAAACATCACACAGGATTGGCTTTTATTGTCAGTGATAATGTGTTAAGATTTGGGTATTGCCCTCATGAAAAAACTAAATTGATGGCAAAACATCCATTGCTTCATCCATTGAGTAACTAAATGCTGTTTCTGTGTTTAGTTAAAGCAGACGCTGAGCGATGAAGACGTCACACTGACATGGAGGACGCAACCCAACGGGAAAGTCTTCCAGAAGAACATGACTGTACTGAAATATAGTGAAGCAAACACTTCTCCTGTTTGCTAAGTCATGTTCTTCATTGGAGTGAAATTTATCTAGCGATACAATTTATCTACAGATATCTGAATTATTGCATTACATTAGCAATTTAACAAAGCAATTTGTCAAGAATACATTTACATATATTAATTTTGCATTTATTCATTTTGCAGACAGATATGTTGCCTAAATATGAGCTAACAATATGACCGTTACCTTCGTCTTCATTAAGAATAAATAAAGACCTTTGGGAGGATAAAATAACTGCATCAAAACTTCTCACAAATGCATACTGCAGATTAAAAAACGCATGCAGCAAAAAACGTTTGTGAACTTTCAATGCTTCACATAAATGCACACAACAACTTTACATTTAAAACAGAGTCATTTGCATTTGTACATTGATTCAGACACAGTCATGTGAAAAAGAAAGGACACCCTACTGAATTCAATTCGGTACTCGCGTGCTGTTATTTGCGCGCGCGCACAGAGAGCCGCGTATCGAGTCCTCTTTCACGTATCCTTGCACTTGAACGGACACACACACACACAAAGTGATCTCAACAAAACTGTCTAGGCAAGTATTCTCATATCTCTTAAGTGAACGTGAACAGTGGAGAAAGAAATCTCATGTGCATCATTATATTGGATCCGTGCATTCAGCCCTAAAATGGCAGCAGCTTATAAATACCTGCTGTTCCATGAGCGCCACCTGCTGTCAGAGAGTGACATCCGTCTGCTGTTTTTTGTTTCATTCTGATTTTTTATGTAGTATAGTTTCACGAAGCTAAAGTCAGACCATTCTGTTTTTGCTTCAAATTTCGAAATTATAGAATCTAATAATCTAAATAACATGTATGCAGCATCTTTGTTCGGATCATGATTAAAACCTAGTTGTTGCCTCTAATTTTAAATGGAAAGAGCAGGCAAAGCCTTAGTTTGATTATATGAAGAGATTTATTTTATTTGTATTATTTAGCTATTTACTTACTTTGGGATTTGTTTAAAATTTTCAAGTTAGTTTCATTATTTGACATATTTCAATTTCACAAAGAGATGTGCAGCATTTTTTCTGAAAAATAATAAAAGGATACATTTTCATTTATAATGTGTCTTTAAAAAATAATCATGAGAAGATTGTATTGTGAAATCTGAGTGAATCGTTACATCCCTATATGCTACTAGCCTTCGCTGTGGTATCGAAGTAAAGTGTTCTTTAAGTAATGTTATTTAAATAATAAAGAACCAATTTTTTTTTGCTAATCCGAAAAATGATCCGATCTGTGACTCAAAATCTGATATAATAGTGTAATATGATCAGAACATTTTTTATATTTGGGATACATTGCACCCCTACTTTCTTGACACAATGCCAAAGAGGAAAGACATCAGCAATGATCTTAGAGAAACAACTGTTGCTGCTATCAATCTGGGAAGGATAATATGGCCATTTGCAAAAAATCTGAATTCCATCATTCCACAGCGAGTAAGATTATTCACAAGTGGAAGACATTCAAGACAGACACCAATCTTCCCAGGAGTGGACGTCCCAGGAAATTCAGCCCATGGTCAGACCGTTCAAATGCAGACAACCCAAGAACTACACCACGTCTTTAACGTTGTAAAGAAGAACGATGTGAGACAGATAAAGTCATACAGAAAATGATTACTTCAACTTATTGCTACTAAAAGTGGATCTACAGGCATTTGAATCATAGGGTGTCTTTAGTTTGCCACACATGGCTTTTCCATATTGGCTTTATTTTTGCTAAATAAATAATGATGCGGTGTGACATGTCATGTGTTGTTGTTCATCTGAGGTTTTATTTTCTACATTTTAAGACCTGCCAAGGACCAGATGATTTTTTATCATGTCCTGATACAGAAAACCATGGAATCCAATAGGGTGCCCTTTCTTTTTCACATGACTGTAAGTGTGAATGTGCATTTGCATTTACAATACCGTTTTATGCCACAAATTTGATTGGTGTTTTATTACGGTACTGTCACTTTCCCTTATTGCTTGCTCTTTTCAGTTTGAGGTTCATTTGTTGTGGCTTCAAGCTAATAAGACATCTTCGGCTGCATATAGTAGTACACTCTAAAAAAACAAATCTGTAAAAATAAGGCACAATGTACTGTATTATTTTGAAGGAATTGTACCTATTTAGTTTTTTCGGGTGTTTTACCTGTATTTTGAATTTTATACTGCATTGCATTGCTTTAGGGTTAATGTAAATGTCTGTAAAATTAATGAATAAGGTCCCAGTAATGAGCTGCCAGTACTTTTTCTGTTATTTTACGGATTTATTTCTTGCAGCATATTCTGACCTACTTTCTATTATTCACGGATATGACATGTGCATACATTGACGAATGATGACAGCATACAGGTTCCCGTGAAATACATCCCGACAGCTTATTACCATAGCGATTTAGTGTAAGACAAAAACATGGTTTTCGAATAAGGTTTTTGAGAGGAGAGAAAAACATTGAAAAGAGAAAAATGTTTTTTTGCTGAGAGTAAACAGTTTTTGGGATGTAGGACCACTACGACCTTAGCATCCTTAGGAAAGATCTAAGGGTACATTTGCACGACAGTTCTATTCTATTCCATTCTATCAGCTATAGCACAACTGTACATACAATTTATTTATTTTTCTATTTATTTTTCAATATTTGTCTATTTATATTTACAAAAGGGGAATTTTTTTATTTTTTATTTTTTATTCTCATCTTATTTTTTATACTTACATACATACATACTTGGCAATAAAGCTCTTTCTGATTCTGATTCTGTACTAAAAATGGAAAAGTTTTTCCTTTGCGTTTTTGAAACTTTCACATTCGTCAAAATGAGCCCGTTCACACGGATCCGTGAAACCAACTAAAAACACTGTTTTGCACGCAGGCCTAGATTGAACACTGTTTTCACAAATATGTGTTTTTGTAATTTACACTGAGCTGATAACGGTATCATTTGTAAAAAATCTTTGAAACCCATTTTTCAGGTCCCCAAAATATGGAAGCCCATTTCCGCCACTGAAAAAAAAAAAGGTTATTGCAACTTTTTATCTCACAAATTTGACTTTTTTTCACAGAATTGTGAGTTTGTCTCACAATTGCAAGTTTATATCACGCAATTCTCACTTTACAACTCGCAATTGCAAGTTTATATCTCACAAATCTGAGAAAAATAGTCAGAATTGTGAGATGTAAACTCGCAATTGCGAGGAAAAAAAAAGTCAGAATTGTGAGATAAAAAGTTGCAATTACTTTTTTTATTCGGTAGCGGAAATGGGCTTCCATACCAAAACGCCTCAAAATTAATGTGAATCGGACTGTAACATTTAGCGTTCAATAAAGAAAATTAGTGCATGTAAATACATCCCTCCATCAAACTAAGCAAACCTTGTGGAGGCAATAAGGGAACTTAAGCTCATTCAAAACGCCCTGTTCAAACTGCACAAATCAATTAAACTCTTTTAGGGAAGATACATTTCAGAAAAAAAAAGTCATTTAATTCATACATTTCTCCAACAGCAATAGCTGTAAAGCAGGCCAAATATCAACAGACAGCGATGAGCAATGTATGGGCAAAGTATGGCAAATTAACTCTGACCTCTAATTCTGACTTCGCTCCTTCAAACATTTATAAGATACGTCTGTCGGTTTGACTATGTCAGGTTTAAATTCTAGCATCCAAATGAAACTTCCCCACTAAAAATCAACCATATTCCGCAAAATCAGCCATATTCGTAATCAATCATTTTCTACAATCATTTAAAAAGGGGGACAATTTGGAGTTTCCTTCATCTCACCCCAAATCCACATTGAAACTTCATCTTTGCCGCCCAGTTTCGGGAACAGCTTTTCTGTCAGGATCACCATGATGCCTTAAAATACTACCTACGCAGGCAGCGCACCAGGTTTTGGTTCAGAGCCACAGAGAGATGGACGAGATGTGATTGTCTGGTGATGGAGTGCCAGTGAACCTAGCACTGAAGGTAAGATGACATTTGATTTTGATTGTGATTTGATTTGCTTTGTTTAATAAGCTTTAATGATGATTTTAATTCATTGAGAGAGTGGACAGTAATGACACTAATTTTCTTCCAAGATCGATACTATTACAGATAAAATTGTAACAATGCAGCAGTCAGCTACAGTATCGCATCAGACAGTGCACTATAGATCGCCTGAGGAACAATTCCACTCATTCTCTACTATAGGAGAGGAAGAATTGTATAAACTTGTTAAATCATCTAAACCAACAACATGTATGTTAGACCCTATTCCATCTAAGCTCCTAAAAGAGGTGCTTCCAGAAGTCATAGATCCTCTTCTGGCTATTATTAATTCATCATTGTCATTAGGATATGTCCCCAAAACCTTCAAACTGGCTGTTATTAAGCCTCTCATCAAAAAACCACAACTTGACCACAAAGAACTAGTTAATTACAGACTGATCTCGAATCTCCCTTTTCTGTCCAAGATACTAGAAAAGATAGTATCCTCACGATTATATTCCTTCTTAGAGAAAAATGGTATCGGTGAGGATTTCCAGTCAGGATTTAGACAGTATCATTGTACTGAAACTGCTCTCATTAGAGTTACAAATGACCTGCTCTTATCATCTGATCGTGGTTGTATCTCTCTATTAGTGCTATTGGATCTTAGCGCTGCGTTCGACACTATTGACCACAACATTCGTTTGAATAGACTAGAAAACTGTTGGCATGAATGGAAGCGCATTAGCATGGTTAAAATCTTGCTTAGTTGGGGACACTTAATTTCCAGCGATATCGTCGACTTGATTGCCCAGATACTATTTAAATTGAACTGAGCTGGATGATGATATCACTGAATTCAATGATGAACTGCCTTTTTGCATTATTGACACACTATTTCCCTATTTAATGCTGTACAGTTGCTTTGACACAATCTGTATTGTTAAAAGCCCTATATAAATAAAGGTGA